TAGCACCACTTTAAGTTTGCAGGTTTGCTGACTTTCTTCACTGCAAAGTGTCAGGGTGCGTCAGTGAGACAGAGGAGGGCTAGGGAGAGATTCTATGATGCATTCAGGGGTGGAACAGGAGTGCTCAGAAACGAGACTTCCTGGGACAGGAACATTTGCGCTTGGGAAATGATGGAGACTTGGAGACAGCAGCCCACCCCTCCACAAAGGGTCCTCACCCACTCTACAGGCATTTTTTTAATTTAAACATTCTTGGGATTCTGAACCTGTTCCTTCATCTTGGGATCAGGATCCTGCTCCTTACTTTCAACTAAGTCCACTTATGAACCTTCAATATTGCTAAGGAGTTTAGGGTATGATGGCCTGGTAGGAAGAAAGCCTGAGGAATTTAGATTTGGATTTTTGGGTAACTTCAGTTGGATACCAAAAGCTGCAGTCTTTTTAAATGTATACTGCAGTTATGATTTCATGTCCTTTCATGTCTTTTCTACCATCTTTTATCTATCTCAACTGCAAACATCATGGAGACATAGAACATTGCAGATCAGAAAGTTAACAAGCTACACCTTTAGCCCCTTTCACTAGCACTATAGCAAGCCTCTCTGCACCTGGCTGAGCATTTCTGACTATTGGATAAAACCCAGTATATACCAAGCTTGGCAGACAATGCTGCAACCAAACCTGAAGTTAATATATTAACTTCTGGACCCTGTAAGGTAGTTCCACCTTGTTAAAAGGCAACATCTCAGTCTTAGATTCCCCTATAGACCTTCCTACTTTGTGGATCCATTTACTTTTTGTGTCTACAAAATCTTATGTAACCTCTTAGACCTGTGTTGCTTGATCGGAGTTAGTTTCCCATTTACACGTGACTCAATTTTTATATTTCAGTAATTTTATATCTATTTAGGAGCTTAGGATTTGCTAAGCATGATCCCAAAACTTAACACCCACCATGTGCTAGGGACAGCAGCTCTTCCCTGAGGATGAGATCTCTGAGGCTGCAATCCTGGCTGCAGCCTAATAGCCTTGCAAGTCTGAACCTGAGACCCTGAGTTATGTGAAAGCAGAGCAGGAGTGGCAGCCAGCTCCCAGAAGTCTGCAGTGAGAACATTGGCCACCACCCCAGAGTATGCTGGCAACTTCCTGGGGCCGGCAGGAAGAGGCCAGGCAGGACTCCTGTCACCTGCTCCAGGACAAATCTATGTGCAAAGCCTCATATGGCAGGTGGGTTAGAGGCTTACGGCAGGTTCTCCCTGAAGAGCTCAGTAAGGGACACTGGCAACCCAACCCAAAAATAGGGAGCAATTTGAGCAAAGTGTTTTAAAGACAGGCTTAGGTCTCCAAGTCTTTTCAGGATGAATTCAATTTAACTTGTCAACTGCAGCCAGTTAACCTTCATGGGCCTCAGCACGTTCACCCTGACACTTTAGCAAGGAACACAGGGTCCTAACCAGTCTTGATCTAGGCTAGTGCGGAGCTCAAGGACCTTGACTGTAGACTACCTCACATACTCTACCTAGCAGGAAATGACAGTGTGGCCCCTGGTGATGGGTGTGGGCATCCCTGCCTGCAAGACCCAATTTCCGGGGGCTGGGGCACCAAATGAGAAACAGGTATTTCCAATTCAAAGGCCCAAAGAACAGATCCAAGAGCAAGCTGGGTCAGAGGTGGGGATCCCAGCCTACTCCCCTCGCTGGGATGAATCTGCAATCCCAAGGTTAACACTTCTATGTAGGTACAGGAGGCAGGAGAAAGCTTTGGTAACAGGGCCTCCAAAGGTCCTAAGATCCCTGGTAGTTTGGAGCGATGACGGCCCACCTCTTAGCTTTCAGGAGGGACAGCCCCAGACCCTGCTTCAGCATCCCCGATGAGCAGCCTCTGAACCCACTGGGGCCTATGTGATGCCGCACTTCTCATGCTCTGTAAACTTGTGAGACTAGAAATGTTCCCTGGATCTGAGCTGGGCAAAGAACTTCCAGTCTATTTCAAAGGCAGCCGAAGGCCTCACACAGGCTCTTCCCACCATGGATGGAAGCTTGCTGGCACCCACGTGTGCCCTGCTTCCTCCAGCAGTTGGCACGGGCCCTATCCCAGAAGTCCTTTGGGCCCAACACATGGAGGGATGAGATGGAGTGGATGGAATGGAGTGGATGGGACTAGGCAAGCCCCAAATCCTCCATCTGGCCTTCTGATTCCTTGACACTCCTCCCCAAAACTTCTGGCAGCTTGGGGCCCAAAGAACTACGGTATATTCTTGCTGCCTAGCAATAAAAGACTCAAGACAAGGGGTAAGACTGCTGTACAGGCACACCCACGCTCGGCCTTGGCTTTCATCACTGCACAACACACCCACCCAAGGTGATGGGAAACCCCCTTCCCTCTTCGATGGAGATCCGAGCTCTCCAGCACACCTGCAGCAGGCAAAGGGTTTTGTCTGAGGGAGCCGATTCAAGGAACTGAGTTGTTGAAAGCTAGCCAGAAGGCTTTCCTCAAAAGCACCAGGTTAGAAATTTTAAGAAAATCTCTAAAGGATAGTATTGAGAACTTTTTAAAAAATAAACTTTTGGACTGAAATGTATGCTTTGGGGAAGCTTACACATGGCCCATTCCCTCACGACACAAATCAGCAGCTTGGAATTGTCTCTAGTACCCTTGTTTCCATGACAGAGGGGCCAACGTAGTCCTTGTCTCACGTTCCTGGGCTGTGGGGGGAGGAGGGGGTTCTCCTTCCTCTTGTAGCTATAGTGACAAATGTGCAACATATATAGCACATGAGAAGTGTAGTCAGAGAAGGGACTACAGCTGCAGGAGTTGCATGAGAAATGGCAGGTGCAACGCTGCTAAGAAAACAGGTGCGGGGCATCACCATCCGGAGGATGGGTGCGTGGCTGTTGAGGGTCAGGAAATGTCTGGGCACTCCCGCACTTTAGAGGTCCAGGTGTGATTATTAACCAAGTATGGGCGGCTGAGAAACAGAGGCTACTCTTCTGAAGTACTGCCAGTGAGGAACAGCTGAGAGCTGGACAGGGCTAGCAAGCTGGAACCATACAAACGACACCAAAGCAGGCTTACAAAAGGACGATTTGGTGGGGTACAGACTGGGGCTCAGCAAAGGCTTGTCAGCACAACTGGAGACATAAGCACACTTTACTGTGGGAAGGGTCATGCCTGAAGTGGAAGAAAAGGACAGTAGTGCCTGATTTAATGGGGCTTTGACTTGAGTAGATTTGAGACACTTGAAACCAGGAGCCAGTGGGCAGACAAGCGATCAGGCTGGACGGTAGTGCTGCAAATCACTACATCATGGTCCCCCCACACTTGGGTTTATGAGTGCTTGTGTGGGAAACGAGGATGACCCAAGGAATAGGCTGGCCAGGTAGTTCCACGAAGGTGTAAATTCCTTGCACCTGAGAAAATAGGATTACCCACCAAGAGTGACTACAACACATAGCAGCTGTCCCTTCTCCACAGTGCTACAAAAATTGATGCCAGGTTGGCTGGCCATTTAATTTTTACTGACAACAGCTGCTCCACAACCAAAGTTTCTCAAGCTCCAACAGAATGATTTGAGCTGAAAATAAGCCGTAAACCCAGCATCCTCCCAGGTTTGGAAGTGAGCTGCTTGCTTTGTAGTCTCATTTTCATTCAGCTTTCCCAAGATTCCATGCATGCACCTGGCTCTGGGCAAGAGCTTCCCCTTCCCAGATCTGAATTACACAGATGCACTTCGTGGAGCTGCAGCCCTTACTGTACGAAGCTCATCTGAGGACGACAGAAACAAGTTGTCTTTCTCAGAGCTCACTCCAAGCCCCTTGTAGACTTGTTTTGCGTCAGGAATTTCAGTATTTCCCAAGACCAAACTTTCCTACGGCCCTTCACTGAAACCACTTTCACCTTATTTCCTCATCGAGGACCAGGACCGGGGAGTGGGGTCAACCACTGAGGCTTGCAATGTACAGTCCCATCGCAGGGCAAGGAGCAGCACAAACCAGGAATGCCTGGAAGGGCTAAAAGGCGGCAGTTTAAAGTAAGGTGGCCCACATCTGATGCTCATTGAAAAGCTAAGGTCTAAGCTATGAAAGCGAGTTACCCAGGTTTTAAGCTCTGCGAAGAGAGTTCCTCAAAGAAAGTCAGAGGCGGAGAGGGCCTCATGCCTGGGCCTTCCTCCAGCACCAGGGAATGTGGCCTACCAGTGAAAAACATGATTTGCTGAAAACACCCATGAGGCCAAGCATGCCATTTGAAAAACTTTATGAGCTGGCAGCCCACGAGACCTTAGGCTACTATTTTAAAGGCTCATCCACCTACTAAAGGTGAAGCAGGAGTACGGCCAGAAAGCTGAACGGGTGCGGTTGCCCAGGTGAGTCCAAGTCAGAGGCTTAGTCAACAGCCGTGGCGCGCCGCCTGGCAGATTTGATTTTTAAAGCCCTCTCCAGAACGGTTTACCTGGATTTTAGAGCCCAGTACCACAGGGTCACCTCCCACGTACCCTCTTCTCACCCCCTTTTCCCCATCCTCCTAAAAGCGAGATTCAAAGCACCAATACTTTCCGCCTGGCTTCTGCCCCCCCACCCAGTCCTTCCCCCCACTTCAAAAACATGCGTTTCCCTTCCCTTCTGTGTTATGAAAAATCCCCCAGTTTTCTCAGCACGGGCTCCGTTTGTTGTTCTTAGCCTTTTCATGTTTTTTTTTTCCTCAAAGGAAGTTTTTGCTCCCTCTGCTTCCTAAACTCCTGCTTCTCGAAAATGCGACTCTTAAGTCATACCCGAGGTGGTAAAAATAAAAGCGCCCTCTCCCTGTGTGCACGACCCATGCCAGGGGCGCCAAGCTCCCACAAGCCCCGGACACTGAGACGAAGAAAGCCCCCCGCCCCGCCGGTCTTCACACAGCCCCGCAAAGGGACACGAAAAGTTACAAAACTTAGCCTCCCGCAAGCCTTCAGAGGCCGCCAGCGCTCCGCGCCTGCTTTTCAAGGACGGCAGTGCAACGTCACTTCCGGGGCGGGGCGAGCGGAGGCGGGCAGCGGGGGGCGGGGCACGCTGTTCGCGCAGGCTCAGGAGGCCGCGGCCGGCGAGCCGAGCGCTTGACTATATATGGTCAAAGCTGGGGGCGAGCCGCGCCGGGGCCGCGCTTCCGGGTTCGGCGTCGCAGCGGCAGCGCGAGGCGCCGCAGCCCTGCCTCGCACCGCCTCCTCCGCGCCCGGCACGCCCGGCGCCGCCTTCCGGCCTGTCCCCGGCTCAGGCCTCGGCGAGGTCCCATCGCGGCGCGGCCGGCCCCTAGCTCTCGGCGAGCGCAGCGCGTTATCAAGTGCGCGAGGATGCCGTACGAAATCAGTGAGTGAGCGGCGGCCAGGAGCCGGCCTCGCCCAGGCGGCGGGGACCCCCGGGAGGGCGGGGCGACGCGGGGACCCCCGGGGAACCCGGGAGTTGGCGCGGGAGCCGGGGGACGGGCAGTGCAACCCGGAGTCCCCCAGGGCCCGCCCCGAGCGCGGGCCGGGAAGTGGCCGTGGCCGCTGAGTGTCTGGAAAGTGGCGGTCGCCCCTCCCTCGGGCGGCAACAGGTGCCCGTTGGGGGCCCCGCTTTCCCTCCTGTCCCCCGCATCCTCCGCCCAGCCTGGGGGGCCAAGTCAAGGGCCCCTTCCTCACGCGCCCTGCGCGCCTCTGTTTCCGCAGAGAAGGTGTTCGCCAGCCTTCCCCAGGTGGAAAGGGGCGTCTCCAAAATCCTCGGCGGCGACCCCAAGGGCAACAGTTTCCTGTACACCAATGGCAAGTGCGTTATCCTGAGGAACATCGACGTGAGTACCCCTCCCCGCCCAGTGCGCTTCCGTCCCCGCCAGCGCGCACCTCCTTCCCCTTCCACCCCCCGCTGTCCCTGCCCAGGGCTTGGTCAGGCCCGGGGCGCCACGCCCCCTCAGCCCAGTGACCACATCTCAGGAATTTAGAAATCCAATCCAGTTTCTCCAAGCCTTCCCCCCCCCCCGCTTTATTTTTGAGGTGGGGAAACTGAGGCTCATTTTAGTTCAGTTCTGAGAGCAAGGGCTTTCGATTTGAGGAATCAGACAGGCCAGGCCAGCTGCTCCCTGGTCTTGAGGTGTGTAGTGACCTGTCCTAGGGAGTCTCCTGTCCTCATCTGCAGAATGGAGATGGTGAGATGATAAAGCCCCTTCTTTCTCCAGCGGCCCTGGCCTGAGGCTTGAGTTCAAAAGCCTGGGGGTTGTTGCTCATTGCAGTTGGTGAAAGGCCTTCTGCTTAATCATAAGAGAACCCTTAGTTTCCCAGTGTGCACACCCAGTCCTCTGGACTCCTGCCTGATCTGCCGCTGTGGATCTGAGCCTCAGAGCAAAACAGGAACCAGCTTATTCCATGAATCATTCTCTGCAGGAGCTCTGTCCCCAGGCTGAAAATGCTTCTAGAGCCAAAATCTGTTCAGGTTCATGTTACTCCTCTGCGATTGTCTAAATGGCCCGGTCTGCCTGTCCCTTTCCCCAACCTCGAGGATTGCTCACTTGATTCCCTCTCCTGGACCTGAGATGGCGATGGTGTGGCTGGTGGAGGCCTGAGGTGCCAGCATGGCCACTTTAGCTTCTGCGCCGGGGGTGGGGCTGGTGCACAGGGGCTTGCTCACAGGGGATGCCGGCTTCAGCATGAGGCCATCAGGGTGGCTGGGGTTGTGGCTTGAGACGCACTCAGGCTCACAGCTGGTTGGGGGAATGTAGGGCTCAGTTTCCTGTCTGACTGGGGTCTCTGTCTCTAGTTGAGCCTGCCTGGTGCCTGCTGCTGCTTTGCTAGAAGGTAGAGCTCTGTCTGGGGATTTGGGGTGGGTGTGAAGCTGCCTTGAAGATGCTAAGGATTGGCTAGTTACAGGGATTACTAGAAAGCCGATCCAGCTTCCTTTACAGCTGGGGAAATAGCACCGAGGGCTCCAATAACTTTGGTAGACAAGTCCCAGACGTAGGTAAAAATGGGAATGTAAAAATTGAGCTTGCCCTTAGCAGGTGCTCAGTAGTTGGGCTTGGTCTTGCCTCCAGCAAGGCTTCCCTGTAGGGGTCATTCGTCTGTGTTTATTTCCGGCTGGGGAGTTGTGTGGGGTGCACCAGCTTGGTCGCCCTCCCCAGACGAGTCCTGCTCTGCCAGGTGAAGGAAGTAGATTCAAGTCACTGATCACCAGCTTTCAGAGTCCATTCTACCAGCCCCTCTGAGGTCTTCATTCTGCCCTGAGGTGCATCTTATTTCTTCCCCACCCAGTTTAAGTTCCTATAATGTAACATAAGGTGCCATTGATATGTCCCTCCCTGCGCCAATGATACAAGACACTGGGTGGGTGGGTGCGGTGTTGGTCCTCACAGATGGTTATGGTTTTTATTAGGATGAAGTCTTTTTGGAAAAGTGTAAACAGCCTTGAGCATTGAGAGTGTAGAAAGGACTGTGGTCTGATTCATTTCTACAGGGGAAGGCACCTTGTAGCCACTGCTATCTGCAGAGGAGAGGGGTAAAAGGAAGGCTGGCAGCAGCTCACAGAAGGTCTGTGTGGCATCTGCATATGCCCCCAGACTTGGGGCTCCGCTGTGCACTTTCCCCAAAAAGACAACTTCCTCCCTCTGACTTGAGGCTAAGACCTGGGACTCCACTGTGTCCCCACTTCCCTGTCACAGCTCATCAAATTCTTTAGCAAGTCCTGCTGGTTCTCCATTTGAAGGGTCTGCAGGATCCTAACAGCTTCACGTGGCTTTGCTCCCGCCGCACCCAGGCTGCCATTCTCTCTTGCCTGCATTGTGCTGCGTCTGCCCCTGCTGCCCTGTGGTCTTTTCTGTTCACAACCTAGCCCACGTGGTTCCCTTCAGATCTGAAAGGCCAGGGGCCTAATATGCTCTAGCCCTTCCCAGTCTCCTCCTCTCTGAAAGCCACGATCCTCTGCATGTCACTCTTGGAACATTCTGGTTGTTTTTGCCTAAATTTTCCTTGCACTGGTGGCTTAGTGGAGCTTCCCCTAAGTACCATCTCCACATCACCTTCTCTGCTGCTCAGGCCTAATAACCGAAGCAAGCTAACAAACAGGTTAACAGGTGGACCCCTGCCGCCAGTTGTACATAGGCACCTGCCCACTGTTCATTCCTCAGTAGATGTCAGCTCCAGAAAGCCACACTTGCTCTGCGCCATCCCTGGCAAGTAGCAGCTCCTTTAGAAGATACTGGTCAAAATGCCACTGAAGTTTTATTGAAAGAGAAAAAAAAGCTGGACTCTTTAGAATGTTGGACATATAAATGTTGAGGAAGCTATTTGTAAAGAGTGTTCTTAACCAACTTCCCCTGGGAGCTACTACTTTCCTCAATTTGTTGATCTGTATTATGTTGACATGTACCATTACTTCTTAAGATTTGATGGAAAGGAGTTTTTCTTCTGTATATTTAGGATCAAACTCACGTGCTGCATCCCTCACTAGATGTTCCAACGATGAGCCCCAACTTGCATGTGTCTGCCTCAGGCTGCAGAGCAGGTGGGATTACAGGCATATGCCTGTGCACCTGGCGGGGGCTCCTTAGCTCTTTGAGTACATCTCATTGCTCCGCTTGGAGAGGATGCTTTGTCAGGGTAAAACGTACGAGGTTGGCCACTTAGAAACCAGTAATCCAGGAGAGTGCTCCAAAACCCAGACAGCTGTGAAAGGTTTATATACCTTGCTTGACACTGGAAGGGACCCCAGCCAAGGGAAGTTTGTGCTACGGCACCCTGTAGCCACTGGTACATGTGGTGCTCCCCTCCAGGTTGCCCTGTCTGGGGCCAGCATCACCTGAGTCGCTGCTGAGCTTGAGGCCCATGTAAGCCTGCCTTCCATGACTTGCAAATACTGGGGAAGGATGCTGTCTGAGGTCCTAAAGACATCTGTTCATCATTCCATGTTCCATACACACCAGCCCATGGGAATGAGGCTTTCAGTGGCCTCACTGTGTGGACGTGTATAGGTCTAGCTGCTTCAGGTACACAGCTCCTCGGATCCACAACTAAGTATGTTTTGGGAAAGCTACAGTGTTTACAGTACTGAATCTCATGGAGTGAGATCTGAAGAGCAAGCGAGTTGGTGCGTCCAAATGCAGTGTCTGTGGACCTGTCTCCTTGGATCCACACCAGGTTTCACGGGGTGCCATCTGCTGCTGCTCTGGTTCAGAATCCATTCATGACCCTGCAGGTGTTGGGTAGGGGGTTTGAGGACTGACTCATAATGGCATGCCTGCTGAGTTCCTGCTGAACGTTTAGGATGGCCTTTGGCCTGTGGGGGAGGGGGTGGCCCTGTAGCTCTGTCATGCAAGGAATGGCATGATCCTCAGCAGCAGGAGGAAGTGACATGGTTGTGGGCATCTGGACAAAAATGAGTGCATTCAGTCCAGGGCCAGAAGCCTTGTGCCCTGCAGTCAGAATGGAGAGTGCTTTGTCACAGGGTGGTGACTGGGCTTGGGAAGATCAGTGGGTGGCAGCTCTGAAGCTGGAGTGATGGCTGTAGGGCTGGGGATGCATCAGGCCGCCGAGTGGTCAAGAGCCTGGCTCTGCTCCGAAGACCACTGGACCCATTGGAAGGTGGGCAGATGCCTGGCAAGCTCGGACCTAGATGACAGTGTTCCCATCTGAGGGTTGGGGCATGAGGGTGGCTGCTCAGAGACCCATACCCCTCGGGCTCACCAGTGGTACAGGTCCTCCTTGCTTTGCCCTGTTGACACCAGTGTCCCTAAGCTGGGATCTTGCAGAGTCAGCTTCATACACTGTAGGCCAAGGTGTCAGTAGGTGATTTTCAGGGCTGGCTTGGTTGTTATCTGGAACCTGTAGTCAGGGATGTTGCCCAACACCCCACAAGGTACAGGACCATCCAACAGCGCAGTTACCACGCCCCGACTGCCCTTTAACTCGGGTCTGAGCACCTTTTCCCACAGGTGGTTAAGTGTTTGAGGAAGATGTCTGCGGTGCTTTGGAGACCATGCGAGGGAGTGGTTATCTGTGCCAAGTAGGAAGGGCAGCTGTGGGAGAAGTGGCACATGGACGTGGGCCGTGGAGGCATTAAGAGTTTTCCAAGAGAAGCATGAGGCACACAGACATGTAGGGATTCCACACTGGAAGCACACGGGCCCTGGGGTGCACAACTCCACCATGGGGTCCTATAGGCGCCACCCTTGCAGAGCCTGTTGGGGGCAGTTGGAGAGCAGGTGGAAAGGGCCTTGCTGCTGCTTCACTTGCTCCAGAGATGTTCCGGTCCCCAGCTTTGGCGGCTGGCCCAGCACTTCCTCCTGGAGGGCCTGTTGCTCTGGGTCTTAGCTAGGAAGAGGCCCCATCCCACCACCTAGCTGAGCTCCTAGACTGGGCCAAACACCCTGGGTGTGGCAGTGGCCTGGCACTGGGTAGTGCCCCTGTTCTCTTCACCCCATACCTGGGAAGCCAGGGCCTCTCAGGGTCAGCATGAGACAAAAGCATGGTGACTTACAGCACATGGCTCTGTCCACATCCTGGGATGGATGCCCTTGTCCCTCTTTTCAGGTGGGGACACTAAAGACCAGAGAGGTGCTAGGGTTTGAACCTGGGCAGTGAGAAGGAGGCGCTCAGGGTCACACTGGAGTCCTCCAGGATGGGCCTAAGTGACTGTCCCACCACCAGCTGAATGAGCATGGTCTGTAGCCTGAGTTAAGGAACCCGGTTAATATCAGTGCCGGTGAGTAGAAGGGAAGAATAAACGTTGATCCCTAACCAGCCCCAGCTTGCCTGCAGCCAAACCCAGACACACTTCGTTCACTTTACCTCTGAGCCTTGGATTCTTCTGTAAAATGGGCTTGTGGGGCTGTTGCGACCTTACAGAGAGTGCTCCTTTGCCCCAGGGCTCTTTGTTGAGTGCAGAGGACCACAGGGTAGGTGTGCCGTGCTCCTCAGGCTACAGGGTAGCCAGTCAAACATGGGACCTGCCAGCATGCCCTTCTAGTGCAGAGGGGGGATGAGGGACAAGTGGCACAGGGCACAAGGTGGGGAGGAATGAGTGCCGGGGGCTCAAACATCAGGGCAGGCTTCCTGGAGGAGGGGGCCTCAGCCTGTTAATATGGGAAAGGTCTTTGAGATTGGAATTTCCACAAGTGATTGGTTGGTAGAGCACGGCGTGGAGGCAGTCACAGGAAGTGGACTCTAGACCATAAAGGCTCTGGGTTCTGGGTGTGGCGCCTGGGCAGCCTCGCCCTGTACTGCTGAGGCCTGTGTCACTGCTTGGACCTGTATCTGTGCAGAAACGTGGGGCTGGCCCTGCTCACCTGGAAGCTTGAGGCCTCAGCAGTGCCTGGCCTGAAGGGGCACACCTTGCCCAGGTGGGGAGAGGGGGGTTCCCTCTGGGGGCTTCCAGCATCCTGGGAGGAAGCTGCCTGGCACCTGTGGCTAAGCAAGTCCTCCTGGCAGCTGTTTCCCAGGCATGGGTCCTGCTGAGTCCCCTCTGGGCAAGACAGGGACTGTGGGGGTGTGGAGGACTCACTGAAGGGGAGAGGGTGGTGCCCCAGGGAGCTGGGGGGCGGGGGTAAGGCTGTCATTCTCCCTGGAAGGCCAGAACTGGATGAATAGTGTGACAGGTGGAAGGGATGGGTTCCGAGCCAGTGGATGGGTGGGTGTTCAGGAGTCCTTCCTTTTTCCATCTGGGCAGAGCCCCTGGGCTTGTTCTGCAGGTGAGCCCACAGCCTGCCCCCCAGTATGTGCACGGCTGTTCTGTATGGGGGGCTCCCTCCATCTCATTTTCCTCATTCCAGAGCACTTCCCCAAATAAGCTGCGCACTCTGCCCTCCTGCCCCACCCTGAGGCTGCTGAATAGGAAGGGGACACTGGGGGCTGGGGCCATTTGGCACCTCTACAGTGAGCTGAGGAGCAGGGCTCAGGTGGAAGCCATGTCTGTAACATGGAGTCTTCCCCACGCTGACCCAGTTGTATCCACAGTACAAACAATAGTGAGTGAGTGAGTGAGTCAGGCAGCCAGCTCTGGATTTGCTGCCCTATGGGGCTTTCCACATGGCGCCTGCAGATACCCAGCCATCTAGGGGAAGGAATTCTCAGGGGCAGGACTTCTGTGGTCTAGTCCAGTCAGCCTCCACCCCAACGCCCTTGCCCCAGGCTCACCCTGCCTAGGGAGGAGGTCAGGATGCTGGGACACTGCTGATGGCTTCACTGTCTGGAGCTGGGCCCTAGTACCTGTAACAGTCAGGGGTGTCCAGGGTCCCCTTTGAGTGCTCAGGGGAGGGAGCAGTGACCAGGCAGGCAGAAGTACAGCAGAAACCAGGCATTGCAGTTTTAGGAAGGGTGGATCTTAGATACACACAGATGGCTTGAATGTGAGTGAATGGTCACATAACCCAGCCGTAGTCCTTGTGCAGAACAATCCCGTGGTAACCGAGCACCCCTCAGTCTGTGGCGGTCACTCTGTCTTCTACCCCATCTCTAGTAACAACAGCTCTACTTTGTCACTGGGCCACCTCTTCCAGAATTTCTTTCCCAGGGAGGTGGTCACAGCGTGCTGTCTCCAGCCGCCTTTCCATAGCCACTGGGTGTATTTATAGTTTGTGGTGTTTTACTGCTGAGCTGTGTTGTGTTGGATAAAGTCCCTCAGCTTGGTTCCAGGCTTTCTGTACATGTGTGCTTTCGTTTCCTTTGGGGAGATACACAGGAGCGGCGTTGTCTTCTTTCATGACTTGTGTTTTAACTTTATAAATAACTGCCAAACTATCTTCCTCTGTGCCCTTTTGCATTTCTACCAGCAGTGTGAACACTTCAGGGTCTTCACTCCGCCTTGCAAACACTTGGTGACATTGTACCCAAACTTCCCTGGTGGGCCCTCCCGTGTAAATAAGGCATTAGATGTTTGTCCTATCAACACCTCACTTGGTGTCAAGCCAGGTGTGAACTTGCCTACAAACTCCCTTGGTTTCCTGCCACGTGTAAACGAAGGATTAGAATATGGCCTTCTGATTAGTTGCGTGTATAGTACTGGGGTCACTGGGCGTGCTGTGTCTGTGCTGTCTTCTTTCATGGAATCATCTTGCTTCTGGTGATGGCAAATCTTTTAGAGACCCAGTGCCCAAACTGCGACAGGAAACTATTTCCTGCATAGTGCCCACCCTGCGGTTAAACCTCAATACTGAGGCTTCAGTTTAGAAAAAACACCTATACCTGGAGATGTCATCTCAAAGCACTCTACGTGCCTGCTGTGGTCCAGGTGCTGTTGTTCTCCATCAAGGGCTCGACCTGTTAGCAGGGTTTTTTATGGCCTTTCAACACATTCCCCCCAGCCCCAGTCTCCTACTTCAGGTGTGGAGGAGCCAGGATGGGGCTGAATGGGAGAGATAAGTGCCACTTATGCTGGGCCACTGGATGCAGCAGGGTGGCGGGCAAGGCAGCCTAAGGAATAGCTTTGGAGCTGTGAGATTTCACAGCGCAGCAGAAGCGGCAGACTGGGCCACAGGTGAGGGTTGTCTTGCTATGGGGGCTGGGCTATTAGAAAGGAGAGGGATGAGGTGGGGCCTCAAGAGGCTGGACTAGATCTGCATGGCAGCATTTGGGATCAGCCCAGATAAGATGCAGCTGCCTGGTTCTGGAGAGCTGGGCTCCCCTACCCCAACCTGCTGAGTCCTCAGGCTGGTGTCTGAGAAGCTTTTCCCAGGGAGCACTGGTTTATCCTGAGCTGTCAGCAGTGGTCAGAGTCTATTCCCTCATGCCAGTCTTGACTGGGCAGCACGAGGGGAGGGCAGGGATCAGTTCTCAGTGAAGCACATGGTCAGACTTCATTGCTGGAGATAGATGCTGGCCCTGTTCTTGTCACCAGGCCCAGCCAGCCTTTGGCCTGTGCCAGCCTGGGTGTGGGGGGCCCATGCTTCTTCCTAGTCCCCTAGCCCCAGCCTGCTCTGCTCTCAAACCTCAGCTGGGAACTGTGCCCCTCAGACACCCAGGCCAGCTGTGTGGGCTCCAGGCTGCTGGGGGCAGTGGCCCGAGGAGAGTGGAGGTAGGAGTAGAACACATGCACTGGTGACCAGGTACCCCACAAAGGAAGAAGAGGCACGAGATTCCTTTCTTTCATCCTGGGTACATTCCACAAATCCATGTGTTTTGCACAAAGAAAGGAGACACAGAAAGATTCCCCAAAGCTTCATCCCCTAAGAGAAGTAGGCAGGCAGCAGTGGAGGGTAGGCGTGCGCACCCTGTCTGTGGCCCTCACTTAGGTCTCATCCCTTCACCGTGGGCCGGCCGCCCCCTCACTCCTCCTGCTCACCCTCCGCTCTTCTCCCTTCAGAACCCGGCGGTTGCTGACATCTACACGGAGCACGCTCACCAGGTGGTGGTGGCCAAGTACGCACCCAGCGGGTTCTACGTAGCCTCTGGAGGTAATGGGGGAGCCGACTCCAGGGCACAGGTGTGGCCCAGGTGGCACTGGGACAGAAGCCCTGCCCAGATCCTGGTTGGAAAGGAGGGTGTGGAGGAGAGGGAAGGGCACTGATGTGCAGCTGGCAAAGGAAAGGCAAGCTGCCGCCACGTGTCCCTTTGCAGACTTGGCCTTCTCAGTGTGCAGTATCCCCATAGGCGCAAGCTCAGCTGGCAGAAGCCACTCCTAGCCTCTGTGGGCAGGCGAGCATGTGGGTATGTGGGAGGGGGTGCATCTGAACCACTCTTGTGTCCCCCTTCCCGCTGCCCCTTTCCCAGCTGGCCTCACAGTGGGCGCTGGCCTTGTCTGAGGATTGGCCTTTGCCCTCTAGCCCGGGCTTTTTCTGTGGCTCGGTAGGAATCCAGGCAGGGCGAGGCCTGAGGTTTATGTGCACAGGAGCTTTATTGGCTCAGTCCTTTGAGGCCTGGCCACTGGCAGAGGAGGTAGGCAGCACAGGAGGTACAGTGGCACGCCCTGCTTCATGCTCCTTCATTCTACTCCTCAGCAGACTTGCAAGCCCCCTGGCCGAGCCCTGGCTTGAGGCACGCAGTGAGAGGATGTGGACCTCATTGGCATCCCCAGAGCCACAGCGGGCACTCAGTGCTGGGAGAATTGCTGGGATTCCCAGGGCTGTATGTGTGACGTCCTCCCGAGGCCGTGTGCGTGAGAGAGTGGGCCGAGGGCTTGAGAGGGATCCAGGATCTCCCTTACCAGCTGCGCAGCCGCGGTTGCAGAGCTGACTTTCACGGGCCTCAGTGTCCTCTGTAAGCTGGGGCTGCCTCGGGTGGGGAAGGACCCAAGGGTCAGTGTGTGCGCAGTGCCTAGCATGGGTCCTTCCCAGATGGATAGTTAGTGCTGGGCGACCGTGCCATCCAGCCCTGAAACTGGAGCACTGCATTGTTCAGAAAGCCAGGGAGGGGACAGACATCTGCTGACAGCCACCACGGTTATAGTCAGGGCTGGGCAGGGAGCACGATGCTTAGTGGGCACTGAATGGGTTTTGTGTTTGCATTTCTGATGACATTTTAAGGTTCACTCTAATCCCATGCTTATGTTATCCCAGAGAGTTCTCCCCTCTTGCCAACAAACTGTCTTCATTAAGCCCCCAGAATTGGCCCAGGTGTTTGCTGAACTTGTATTTAACAAAGCCTGAGAAATTTTCTTAGAGAAAAGTATCCGGTGTGGGCATCTGCCCAGCTTGGCATAGCTCCCGCCCTGCTGTGCCCTGCTGAGAGCCTGCCAGCCCAGGCCTGGCCAGCCATCCCCAGGGCCTGCTTAGCAGGACAGAAGTCTGTGGCCTTACTGTAACGGAAGCGGACACAAGGGACTGTCCCATGTTTATATGACCGTCCGCCTAACATGCTCTTTGAGGGAACCAGGCGAGCTCTTGGGTGAGGTGGCATCTTTGTATTTCTGATCTCTTTCTTTGAATAGAGCAAAGGGATTAAGAGTTACAATGCACATTGCTGCAGAGAAGCAGGCCCTGGGCTAAAAATAGTGTGGTGTGCAGGGTTGGCAGTGAGGCTGAGGGGTGGGAGGCTCTCAAAGGCTGTGCTGGTGGTGCCTGGTATGGCCATGCGGGCTGGGTCCCACCCAGCACCTCAGGAAGCCCGCGGGGCCTGCCAGGTTCCCCCTGTGGATACTGTCATTGGCTGAGGGCTGCTGCAGGAGGCACTCTTGGGGTAGCCCCCAGCATGAGCAGGGTGTCAGCCTGCTGTCCAGCAGTGCTCTCCTCCCCCAGGATTGTGATGTCAGGCTGTCCTTTGCTCCATCTCCCAGCTGTGATTCCCAGATGGCTCTCGGGGTACTGCAGGGACCATGAGGCAGTGACACCAGGCATCCTGGAGGAAGGCTTTGTGTGCCTAGAGATGAAAGGAAAGAAAAGACAGCTGCAAGGGTCCCCATGAGCAAGCTTTTTTTCAGGGATGAGAAGCCACTCACCCTGAGCTGCCCTTCCCCTCTACCTCCCATAGTGTTGTGTTTGCTGAGCAGCATGTGTGCGTATGTGTGTGTGTACCTGTACGTGTGTGTATCGTATGTGTGGAGTGCAGTGGTCACACATGCCTCTGAAATGGCTGCCCTAGTGTTGACAGGTTTGCCTGGGAAGAAGCCCTACCCAACAGCACTCTGGCCCCGCGCCGTGACAGGCCAGCAGCTCATGAGGGTGCACTAGCATGTCTCCCAGCAGGCCCTTCTGCAGGAGGGCACCTCATCTCCCCAGCACTCAGCACAGGACTGGGTACCCAGCAGGCCCACAGTTGGCCACAGTTCCTGTGGGCCTGCTCTGCTTAGATGGGGCCTCTGTGCCTGGGCCCAGGACCCACGGTGCAAAGAATGAAATGCACAGCCAAGCCCTGGTGGAGGGGCTTGGTGGTCTGCAGCGGGCCAGTGCAGAAATGGCTGTGTGGCCATCTAAGAATGGGGCTGGAGCCAGCAGGAGGAAGCAGTGGGTGGGTGAGCCTAGGGACATGGAAGAGCAGGCTCTGTCTGGCCCAGGCGTGGTTGGATGTGCCAGTGCAGAGGCAGAGGTGTCGTTGGCTCCACAGCAGGTGGTGTGGCAGAGGGCAGCAGCTTGTGGCAGCAGAAGATAGCAAAAGCCACAAGAACAAAATGGGGGAAAGAAGCAGCTTTGAGTGTCAATCCACAGTGGGCACATCCAGCAGTCGCCCACCCTGAGTCCCAGCACTGCATTCCGATCAGTCGTACTCTAGGTGTGCTGCCCTCCAAAAGCCCCATCTGAAAGTGCATGAGGCTTTGGGGGATGTCTAGACACAAGCCCTACCTCCAGGAGAGGCAACCCGCCTGCCCTCCTTGGGGGCTAGGGCAGAAGCTGTCAACCTCAGAGTTGGAGTGAGTGTGCCTTCCTTCCCACCGCCCACACAGTGCTTCTTTGGGAAGAGCTGTGTCAGGCTCGTGCTTGGTGCAAAATCCTGCGGGGGCAGCATGGCCCCACGTTCTTTTCTTTACAACTCGTTGCTAGCGGCACACGCTATGTGCAGCCCCCGCCCCATCTCACAGGAGCAGCTTACTCTACCCTTGCTTGTAGCGGAATACCTGTCTGCATGGGTGATGGGTGAGGCACCAGGCCTGTGGGGCGCAGCAGGGCCAGGAGCCTAGGGCTACCTACAACGCATCCCATCTGAGGGTGAGGCAGGTGGTGTGAGGTCTGCACCGCACTAATATCCCCTAGGAGCCTCAAAGCGAAACTGCTTAGCTGTGGTGCATTGGTTCCTTTCTGTACCTAGGCAGAGCCTGGTGTCCAGGTGAGATGCAGGGGTCAAGGGAGCAGCCTGCAGAGGCGACACTGAGGTAGAGTGGCCACATTTCTTGTGCCAGGCTGCAGTTTTCCCTCCAGGCACTGGGGCTATGGTCTGAACCGTGGCCTGGTAGTCAGGTGTGCTCTCCCTCACACCCATGCTGCAGATGTCTCCGGGAAGCTGAGGATATGGGACACCACGCAGAAGGAGCACCTTCTCAAGTACGAGTATCAGCCTTTTGCTGGGAAGATCAAGGACATTGCCTGGACTGAAGACAGTAAGAGGATCGCCGTGGTCGGGGAAGGAAGGGAGAAGTGAGTGCTCGCCTCAGCCCCTCCCTCCCTGGCTCTGCGGCCTGGTCTTGGTGGGTGGGGGGCAGGTGAGTCTGCCAGCTGAGTTCCTGGTGGGTGCCACCTTCCCTCTCCGCTGCCATCTCAGCTGTGAGGCTGGCTGAGGCGCCCAGGCCCTTAGGGTTGGCTCAGCCACACGCACAGGGAATGGCATCGCTGAGGCTGTGAACCAAGCCTAAGGCACCTTCTCGCTCCTCTCTGACTTTCCTGGTCCTTGACCTCTCGGGACTCCCTGTCCTGCCCCCATCTTAGGCCTCAGGAAGGGACAGGTGAACAGGGTGCACCTCTGTAATTAGGAGACACTTCCAGCCACGACTGTGAGACTGTGAGGCTGTGAGGGGCTGTTGCGGAGTTTCTCCACCTAGGACATCCTGAGGGGTGGCTGCATGCTGTGTGCCCCGGTTGGTGACCGGCAGACTCAGCTGGACCCTGGTCTGCTCTTTAGAAGTCGGTGCCCATTGAGCCCCCAGGTTCTTGACAGCCGCAAGCCAGTTTCGCGTATTTTGGGGACTGTTTGCTCTTCTGTGTTTGTAGTTAATCCCTCCTGCTCCCTCAACTCCATTTCTGTTCAGTGGTAAAGAAAAACTAAAAAGCGTAGGATCCATTTTTGTTATGTTACCGGGTATTTCATTTTCTATTCTTGCCTGTCAGTAGTCCTCAGTGGCTGCACCATCCGCTGTGGGGCTTTGGAACGCGCACATCGCATGAGTTCCTTTCCGTGCCCCTCCGTCCACCTCTTGCCCCCTTCCCATTTGCAGAAGCCAGCACTGTTGCCTGTGTCCTTTTTGGTCTTTATTTACGTGGTGAGGTTGAAGCAAAGCATCTACTCTCTAGGCAGGGCCTGCTTGGTCTCTTTCTGGGCCCCTCTCCCAAATGATCAGGAAAGCACTGGAACGGTGGAGTTCCCCGCAGCTGCGCCGGGGCACCTTCCACCTGGGCGGGGCTGCCATGCACCCCAACACTCACCCTTTCCTGCAGAGTGTGGGAGCTCCTGGTCATCCTAGGTCCTTTATTAAAATACAGCTTGTAGACTGGAACCTACTCGCTCTTAAGTGTGTTGTCCCTGGAGCAGTGTGGCCAGCTGTGGCAGCATCCCCCTGGCCTTGTGCACAAGCCCTCGGCTACCGCGTTTCTCCCCTATCTTCCATCCTGTATTGACTTCATCTTTAATTCTTCTCCTTGGGTAAAGATTCGGAGCCGTCTTCCTGTGGGACAGTGGCTCTTCCGTGGGCGAGATCACAGGACACAATAAAGTCATCAACAGCGTGGACATCAAGCAGACCAGGCCGTACCGGCTGGTGACGGGAAGTGACGATAACTGCGCTGCATTCTTCGAGGGGCCTCCCTTCAAGTTCAAGTTTACCATTGGTGTAAGTGGGCTGTTCTTGGGGACAGTTTGGGTGGACTTTGAGGTTTGTGAAACACTAGATACGGATGAAGGAGGGTCAGGGCACTGTAACATGAAGGCGGAGTGGCATTGGGTAGAGGAAATAGAATGGAGATAGAGAGGGCACCTGTCCCCGCCGCGTGTTCACCAGCTCCCGGGCTGGGGCTAGGTACAGGGTTCAGCAGGGCAATGAAGACAGTGGTGTCTAATGCCACGTACCAGAGGATGTGGTCATCCTAGGTCCAGAGGAGGTCCTAAGTGCTGACAGCGTGCTTTATGACTGTCTTGACTCAGTCCTGATGAGCTAGCAGAGGGCAGGGAAAATGCCTTTCAGGACCCCTGGGTCAGCCTTGCATCCCTCCACTGAAGGGTGAGAGCACACACACATCAACAGGAATCGGACCCATTGCTTTTGTAGGGGAAGGTGCCCCATGTCCCCTGAGGGAGCATGCAGGCTTCTGTGGGAGCGTCTGATGCCCAGGTCCCCACCCCTCTTGAGGTCATCTTTCCTGTGGCATGATGGGGAGAGGAGAAGGGTGCTTTGGCGTCGAGACTCTTGGGAAAGGAGTTTGAGCTGTGAACAGCCTGCTCGGGAGCAGGCCTTACACCCTTTTCCGGCCCCAGGATGTGCTGCCAGTGGCTGGGCTGGTGTGTAGGGGCATATGTTCCCTGGCTGTCCCGGTTCACTAGGGCATGTGCTGTGGAGGTGGCCCCAGCATCCATGCCTGTGGTGAAGTGGTGCAGATGCAGGGGCTACATGTACCCAGGAAGGGGGTTTTGTGGGCTGCATGTCCTTGGAGGTGCTTGAGTTTTGGGATCAGGCTGGCTGAGGTCTGGGACTCCTTCAGGAGCACCATGGTTCCAGTATCTGAGCCTCAGGACACTGAGACACAGTCCTCATAGTGGCCCGCCGAGGAGGCCTGCTCTTTACAGTGACGGTACAGCCAGTCAGATAGATGTGATACTGCTGGAAAGGGTGCACATGTGCCCAGCAGTGGCACAACTTCCTGAGGAGGCATTTGGCTTAGGGTACAGATGGGTTCCCCAGGGATTCCCTGTTCGTGAAGCAAACAGCTGCATTCATCACTGGCGTCTTGAGCTGAGCAGGTTCTGGGTGGCCGCTGCTGATGCCCTGTAGTTTCAGGTCTGTCTCCTGCAGCACCGCCTAATTGGTAGGGAAGGAATGGAGACCTGGCTATTTTGGAAGCTTTGTTGAAGGCTGCAGTCTAAGGTCAGTGTTACGGGAGGAGAGACGCTGAGCCAGCAGACCCTGGCTGAACCTGATCTGATCCCAAAGGAGGCAGGAAGGGCAAGAGGTGTGGGACAGTTGGATGCTGTCCCTGTTGCCCAGGCCCCCACAGGCTGTGCTGCGACTCCCGTGGCCTTCATCTGTGTGTGTGAGCAAGGGTCCTCTTCTGATTCTGGGGAGGCCGTTTCATTTGCAGAGGTGGCTTGACCATGGCACAGAGCATTTTGGGTGCACAACAGCAGGGTCTGGCAACAGGCCCAGCCTGTGTTCTACGCATCCTGTGTGCTCTCCATGCAGTCTCCCCAGCAGCACTGACCCAGTGTCAGGGACACAGCTTTGCCCAGCTGGCCCTGACGGCTGGGTAGGCTCTGCCACCCACACCCATGGATCTTGAGGATCTGGAGAGGTGGAAAGGGCCGTGGGCCTCAGGCCAGAGACGGTGGCTGCCACTTGGCGCTGGACTGGCTGGCTCTGCCCCTGAAATGCTAGGTAGGTGTGCTTTTAGGTCCCCAGAAAGCAGGGTGATGGTGACCTGCCCTCCCAGCCCCCATCTATGGCGAGGGCTCAGGACACCAGTGAGTATCAAGGTCCGCATGTTGCCCAGAGAAGGTCTTGCAAACTCTGACATGAAGGGATCAGGGAGGGCACTGAGGACCTGCAGCCCACAGTGCCTGCTGCTAGGTGTTGCTGGCCTTCAGAATCTATGGCTCCTGGTGGGCTTGAGGCCCGGGCTGTGTCCTGCCCTCTGTGGTCTAGGCCTGCCACCTTCCTATCACCCTAGGAGCAAGGTGTAGGAAAGGACAAGGCAGAGGGCGTGGGACGAGTAAGGATATGTGCTGACCCCCTGCAGGCCCTGTGGGGCTTCTTCCCATGTGTGGGTCCTCTTGATGTCAGAACTGGGGACATGCGTGTTCTGTGGAAATTAAAGTGCACGCGAGTGGGGGCTTTTGAGAGGGAATTAAGTTCCATTCACTGTGAAATCCAAGCAGTGGCAGTCTTTTGTCCCCAGGTTGCTCATTCCCACCCTGTGATTCTTGGGAGTCGGGCTCGCCCTCGTCTCCTGCTCAACTCTGCTGGAACCTTACCCAGGGATGAGCAGTGCACAGGCAGCTGTCCTGTGTCGTCTGTTCCACACACCCCTGCCTGCCCATATAGCCCCAGCACCTGGGGCTCACCTCAGTCTGAGGCACAGAGGTGGGTAGTGGCCCTGAGGGAGGGACCCAGGTCAGGGAGGGGACAACACTGGTCAGGTGCAGCTGTTGCCCTGGAAAAGAACAGCCTGTTGGGAGTTTCAGTCCAGTGCATGTTGAAACAAGACTGCTTGTGAAAGCAGGTCAGGGGGATCTTGGGCTTGCATGGGACCACCTCGTGTCTCCTGGCCCAAGCTTGAGGGCTGTGGCGCTTCTGTGTCTGTTCAGCAGCCCGTTATTTAGAGCACGTGTTGGCTCCAGCTCTAGAGTCGTGACTAGTGCCCTGTAGGCCTCAGGCCGTAGCCCAGCTTTGTGCACATCGAAGGTGGGAAAGGAAAAGCCTTTTACGTGGAGTGACCAGGCACCACCCTGTCCCCGGGTGCCTGGAGGTGATGACCCTTGGGATCACTCCAGAATCAGCCTGGGGGCAGATGAGCTGGAGGCTGCATGGTCTCCATCTTGCTGCTCAGGCAGAGGTTTAGGCCTGAGGGAGGGGCTGGTTGTGGCCTTGTCCTTGCCAAGCCCTCTGACAGATACATCAGGTATGTGTATGTGACAAGGTCCTCCCAGTGTCTCATCTGTCATGGCCAAGGGCCAGTTCCTTTGCCTCCAGCCTCCCATATCCTCGGGGGTGGGTGGTAGCTGCAGAGGAAGGGGATACTGACTGCCCTGTCCATAGTGGGTGACAGCCCGGTGGACAAGGCTGCTTAGGGCTTCTTGGACCTGCTGAGGTGGGTGAAGGACATAGTGTCACCCTCAAGCTGGTTGGCAGGAGAGAAGCCACTGTGGGGGACAGAAGGAGCCAGTGTTTCCACTGAAGAGTGACCATTATGGAGCACCCATGGCTGGGGGCCGTATGCTGGGCAAGAGTAGAACTGGTGGGTGCAGTGGAGGGGACGTGGGTTGGAGATAGCAGCCACCGAGGCTGGGGATCACGGACACCCAGAGGCAGCTGCTCATTCCTGTTAGTGACGTGACGGCGGGGGGGAGGGGGTCCTTAATACCTCACTGCTTCAGGCCTCTGCTTGCTGAGGGCAGTGGTGCTGCTGAGAGAAGTGTGGAGCCAGAGGGCTGTTTGAACTCTGCGTTGTCTCCAGAGAAACAAACCAACAGCACTGGGGCTCCCCCATGCTCAGGTATCCATGCAGGCCACCCTAAGCTGGGACTTGAGGACAGCACTGCAGCCCTGTGGTCAGCTGGGACAGCTCAGGTGGCCTCCCTGCAGGAAGCACTATTTTTAGCCCTTGTGTCACTGGTTAGTGGGCCACTGGTGCTGCCTGTGCGGGGCTATTTCAGGAGCAGACACAGGTCTCTTGCTCACTTGGACTTCTGGTACTTGGCTGAGCTGCTCGAAACAGTGACAGGAGCAGGCTTGGGAGCAGGCTTGGGAGCAGCCCTGGGCACTTGAGGACACCTGCTTGGTCCCAGCCTTCCTTGGCCACCTTCCTGCAGCTGCGTCCTGGGCACAGACCTGGCCCCTGTCGTCCCCATGGGAGAGGCCCCCAAAGTGACAGTTCTGCCAGGCTATAGACACCTGCTTAGGGTCATGGTCTTGGGCATCAGGTTTCCTCCCAAGGGCGTCCCGCTTCTGGACCTGGGGTTGGAGTAGGCATGTCAGTGCTTCTCCTTGGGGAACCAGCAACGTTGGATGCCATCCCTGTAAGAGCTGCATGGTAGCACAGTATTTGCTGACTTATGGTGTATTTAGTGCATAGTAGAGTTGGCAGCCCACTCTGCATCCCTGCCGTCCCCTGCTCCACCCACTGGCATGAGTGCTTTTGGCTGCTCGGTTCTCGAGTACCGTGTGACCCCTGCCCGGGCAGAGGGACCTAGGGTGAGCTGACACCAGTGTATCTCCATGTTCTCCATCAAGGAAGCAGGTCCCAGATGTGACAGGCACAGCAGACTCCATCCAGGCGAGAGTTGGGCCCTGATTAGCAAGCGTGCTGGATGCCTAGCCTCGGTGCAGAGGCGTCTCATCCATGGATCGCAGTTCCACAGCTAGATGATGTGTGTGCCACCCCTGCTCAGGTGACCTGCAGAGCTTTGTCTCAGGCCCCTCCCCCTGCTTTGCACCCTGCCGACTCCTGTGGACTAGGGGTATGGTGGGGTGAGCCTCAAACCTGATGGACAGGATTAGAGCTCCTGTGTAGCCCAGAATGGGTGACTGTCCACCATTGGCTTTAGGGGCCTGACCTGGGATAGCTCCTGGACAGGGAACCTCAGGCCTGCCCAGCACCTGCCAACGCCCAGGAGCAGTGCTGCCTAGGAAACTCGAGCTGGATTCTTCGAGCTGGCATGCTCAGGTTACACAGCCTCCCTGCGCCTGCTGCTCTGCTGTAAAGAGTTGGCTCACCATGGCCCCTCAGAGGTAGAGTGACAGGTTGTAACACTAGTAGAGGCTTCTGCAGTTAAGACAGCCAGAGAGGCAGAGATGCGATTTGGAAGTGAGTTCTGACTGATGCCATTTGGTGGGCCATACCTACTGGGAAAAGTCATTTACTTGTTCTGCAGCCCCCTGGCTCCTGCCATAGCACCTCCTCCCCTCCTCCGCTGGGTCTCGGGTCTCCGGTCCCCGGGGAATGGCCCGTAGTGATGCGCTCTGGTCATAACAGTGTCCATCTAGCCTTGAGGCTGGAGATCTGTGAACCCCAGGGACAAGCAGGTAGATGGCAGGGGCGAGGAGGCTGAAACTGACCCCCGAGACCATGTAGCACTTGAACATCCTGAGTTGCCTGTTGCTGTAGCCAGTGGTGGGGGTTGGCCACGCAGCTCAAGTAGATGACCGTCCTCTCTCCCACAGGACCACGGCCGCTTTGTCAACTGTGTGCGATTCTCCCCCGATGGGAACAGATTCGCCACAGCTAGTGCTGATGGCCAGGTAAGGGCCAGGGATGATGGGGTGGTGGGCAGCAGGCGGGCAGGTGTCAGGAGCTATCCCTCCTCGTCACCTCTGAGGAGCGTCACTGAAGTCCAGTGGACAGGACCATGGGAAGCTCAGTCTTGATAGTCGTAATCGCTGGAAAAAGGCGAGTGGGGGGCATCCATACACCCAGGCATGCGATGCATATATGCTTTTGTTTTTTGAAAGATATTCATCTATGATGGGAAGACGGGAGAGAAAATATGTGCACTGGGAGGCAGCAAGGCCCATGATGGAGGGATTTATGCTGTGAGTATGGATTTTCACATCTCATGATGTGTTAGCTGTAACTTGTACATGTCTGTGTTTGCAGCCATCAGTAAAAGTCAGAAATATTTTAAATGAGGGGCTAAGAGCTATGAGTGGCACAGAGCTTCAGGGTCGCCATGGGTGGCAGGAGCTGGGGACTGGGTACATCCTGTGGCCTCCTCAGGCTTCACTTTGTTCTGCTAGAAGACATAGATTATGCCAGGCTGCTTTCTGGTTGCGTCCCTCTGCAGACCTGTGAGACAGGTCTGTCTTATTCTGCACAGATTAGCTGGAGTCCTGATAGTACCCACTTGCTTTCTGCTTCTGGAGACAAATCCTCAAAGATCTGGGACGTCAGCGCCAACTCCGTCATCAGCACGTTTCCCATGGGCTCCACTGTTCTGGACCAGCAGCTGGGCTGCTTATGGCAGAAGGACCACCTCCTGAGCGTCTCCCTGTCAGGCTACATCAACTACCTGGACAAGAACAACCCCAGCAAGCCCCTGCGGGTCATCAAGGTGAGCCTGGCCCATCCTGGAGCCAGGTGGTGGAAAGTCCCCCAGCCAGTAGAGGGGACCTACAGGAGGTCCTCAGGGTTTGCACAGTGGGGTGAGGGCAGTGAGAGGGCAGGTGTACATGGCCTGGCAGCAGGAAGACTGACGTGCTTCTCTGGGCCTCAGCGCAGGACACTTGGGAATTCTGCAGGGATTCAAGTCTGGCTCCTGCAGCAGAGTAGTCAGGGGAACAGTGACCAACCCCCATCTGTTTCCTGTGTCTGCCAGCCTGGCTGTATGTCTACTCTTACTAACATCTGTAGCTGGCTAAAGCCAGGCTGGCATTGCTGGCTAGGTCAGCTTGGAATTTTGTGAGCTCTTGTGTTTGTTAAAAGAAAAACTGCCTGAGTCACACTGCTGTGGGTCACGCAAGGTGGCTGGGGCTGACATCAGACTGTAGAGGTTCCTGAGCCACCAGCCAGAGCCCGGGACAAAGTGATTCACAGCCCTGGCTACACTCGAGCCTCAGCTGGGCACTTTCAGAAGGGGCTTCCTGGCTGGTCTGGAGGGGTGGTCACTGGGCTCGAGGGATGACCTTCAGGTGCCTGCGGATCACCCAAGAGCGCCAGCTCGTTAAACACCCCCACCTCAGCAGGGACACCTCTGACTTCATGGCTGTAGGCCAAGAGCATGTGTCTCTCATGAGGTCCCTAGCCAGCAAGGTGGCACTTGAGTCTTCTCACTGTTCAGGCCCAGGGCCCATGTTAAGTAGTAGCAGGACTAGGAGTGCTTACTGGGACAGGATGTGCATTGGCTGTGTCCCTTCCCATAAGGGCAGATGCCATTTCATGACAACACATAGAATGGCAGTGAATGCTGCAAAATTCCTGGGAGAATGTGAATTTAACCAGCTGATAGTTGAGAACAGGAAAACCCTTAGGGATTAGGGAAAAGGTGTATCCAGCCCTGCTGTACAGGGCTTTCTGTCCAGAAGCAGTCCCAAAAGAGCTCAGGGTCCCTTATGGGACACATGTCTGATCGTCTGATCATAGATCCACAGTGCACACCTGACCATCAGTTACCAGCCTTGGGAAGGGTGGAGCTGAGTGTCAGAGCCCAGGATAGCCTACATGGAGGCAGCCTTGTGCCTGCTAGTCAGGTGCTTGGGTGGTGGTATGGGTCAGACCCTGTCCACACCCGGAGGTCTGGTGCAGGGACGCAGACACATGGGGCCTGATTTGTTGGTGACTAGCTATTAAGGAAGGCTGACTATGGCCGAGCAGCCGAGTCCTCAGCTCACCCTGCCCCTTGTCTCCTCACAGGGTCACAGTAAATCGATCCAGTGTCTGACGGTGCACAAAAATGGCGGCAAGTCTTACATCTACTCTGGGAGCCATGACGGCCACATTAATATCCTTTGGCTCTGGTGCTGGCAGGAGAGGAGACTGTCTTATTCCCACAGTGCTGGTGGCCATATGGTACTAGGCTCTGTGGGCACCCATCACAGTGGGGCCTTGGTGGCTCAGGGCTCTGGGTGGGGAAGCCACAGCCTTGACCCCACCAGGCACTTTCCTTGCATAGCCACTGTGTGGTTCACCACTTCCGACCTGAGCTGCTGTTCTCCCTATAACAGCAGTGGGTGCCAGCCTTGTCCATGTCACAAGCATTAGAACCATGGAGTTTTAGAGTTCAGTGTTTTAGAAACTGAAGAGCAGAGGCAGGTGCCTGCCCCCGGAGTCACTCAGTCCAGCAGCCGAAGGCTGAGACCGACCCCACAGACCTGGCCTGGGACTTTACCCAAATGACAGCTTCTGCGGAGCTTCCCTGTGCCCCACATCCAGGCACATGCACCCAAGCAGGCGGGTGCTGTGCGTTCTGTACACTGCCCACCTGGCAGAACCCTCCTCCCCGGGATAGGGCTGGGCAGATATGCCACAACAGGAGACATATCATGGCTGGTACAGAGGAGGCCCTGAGGCCCTCTTGCCTGTGGTCCCAGTGGGTCAGCCTCGCTCCTGGCACCCGTGCTTGTGGACTGGTACGGAAATGAATCTTTCTGTGTCCAGTGCTGGGTTTTCCACCCCAAGAACACAACAGCTGTAGAGTATGGGTCTAACCTCCCACAGAGACAGTTAATGTACAAGAAGCCGCACCCAGCGTCAGTACCTTATGCTGAGTCCACACCAAGCCCCTCACCTTGGTCCCCTGGGACTCTTACTAGTGGCACGTGGGCAGCCATCAGAGGAGGAAGGCACAGTTGGCTTCCTCGCAAATGGTTAGATGTAGGGTAGGTTGTGTTACAAGAAGGCCGAAATGAGATGTACCCTCTCCTACAGTCTGTGTCACCGTCCTCATCTGAACCACTGTTCAGGAGTGTTGTCCTGGTCCCTGCAGGAGCTCATTTCCTAAGTCACACTACCAGTTAGGTATTCCTTATCTGAAAATGGTTGAGATAAGATCTTGGGATTTGGTGTTTTGGTGTTCTTTTCTGACTTCAAAATATTTGCGTATGTACAAAGATTTCTGTCATGGGGTGGAGACCCAAGCCTGAGCACCAAAGGCATTGCATTCCATTGACTTACGATTGACATGTTATTTACCTGTTGTTTACTTCTTTTTCTCCTGTGTGTAATTGTTTGCCCTATTCAGTTGGTTGCTTCTGATCTCATTTGTGAAGTTCTGATCATTTTGGTCCCTCTCTAGAACATCTTTCAGGAGCCTGTGCAGGGTTGGCTTTGTCATCATGAAATTCTTTAGTTGTTCTTTGTCATGGAAGTATTTCACTTCTCCTTCAAACTTGAAAGAGAGTTTTGCAGGGTATAGTAGTCTGGGCTGGAATTTGTTTTCATAGAGGACTTAAAGTACTCTGCTCCATGCTCTTCTTGCCTTCATGGTTTGTGAAGAGAAGTCGTCCGTAATTCTGATGGGTTTTCCTTTGAACGTGATCTTCTTTTCTCTAACGGCTTTCAGTAGATTATTCTTGTGCTGGATTCCTGGGATATTGATTGTTATATGTCTCAGTGTGTTTTTAATTGGGGTGGGGTTACTTGGCATTCTGTATGCTTCAGTTAACCTGAATGTCAAATTGTTTCCTCATAGTTGGGAAGTTTTCTGCTATTACTTCTGCCCATATTTTTTAATGTCATATGTATTGACTCCTTTCTCATTGATACTTATTAGTCTCACATTGTTCATCTTTGCATCGTCTTGCAAGTGATGAATTTTTTTCCTGCATCCTAGTTATTTTTAAGAGATCTTTTCTTTTCACTAGCTGCACCAGCATCTTCAAGATCTGAAACTCTGTCTTCACTTTCACCTAAACGGTTTTGCAAGTTTGTGATTGAGATTTTTAAGTTCCTCTATGTCTTTTTGACTCTGCTACATGTGATCTGTTTCTTTCCTATATTGCTTATTTGAGGAGTCCATCATTTTTCTGATCTCTATTTTTATCAATGTCTTTAGAAGCTATTACTCTGTTTAGTATCTGTGCTGCCAAAGTGAGCACAAGAAGCTGTTACTCTTTTACTGCAGTTTTTTTCAGATTGGGTTTCCTCCCTATGTTTCTGTATTTCATTCTTCAGATACTATCAGTTCAGAGAATTCTTTATTTCAGAAGATAATTCTGCTCTGAGTTCCTCTATAACTTTCTGCTGTTGCTTATTTACTTTCGACGCTATTAATTCATACATTTGAGCTGAGCTAGAGTCCTCTGCACTTTTTCTGGTTTTGCATTGGGTTTCCTCCATATGTTTCTGCATTTAATTCTTCACTGCAGATGCTATTAGTTCAGGGATTTCTTTTTTCATTTCCAATCTGAGATCCTCTATTCCTTTCTGCAGTTGTTTCTTTATTTCAGAAGCTGTTGATTCATTGATTTCAGCTGTGTGATTCCCAATTTGTTCTGTGTTAGTGTCCTCTGCACTTGTTATGAGTGGGCTTTGGGTCTAAGATTCCATTTTGCTCCTTCTTGTTGTCATTTTGTATAGCACTGTACTCTGACCTTTGTTGTAAAGCCTTGGTACAGTTATAACCTTCACACCTACTGAAATTCAGGTGCAGATCTACACAGTTTGGATTTATCCAGCTGTGCCTGGCTTGGGTCTGGCTGCTGTGCTCAGCTCCTTCCTGCTGCAGCCCTTGGTAGTGAACATGTTGTGCCCCTCTGGCAAGATGTTCTGCTCCTGGACTAGCTGGGTGATTCTGTCCCCTACTCTGTCTCAAGGGACTACAGCTGCAGAGTTTCACCCCAAGCCTATATGCCAGGCCTGCGCTGAGTCTGAAAGGGACAAGGTAGAGTAGGGGAGAAAGGAAGCTCCCCCCTACACTCACCAGGCCTGGGCTAGGGCTGGATCTGGGGTTCCCGAGAATGCGGCAGAAGTTCTCACTCACTGGGCGGGAGTAGGGGAGACTGGAGTGGTGGTTGGGGGGGGGGGTCCCAAGGGAGTGGGAAAAGGTCTCAACCACGCTGTGCCTGAGCTTGGACTGGACCAGCCCTGCTGGTGCAGGGTAGCCGGAAGCTCTCCCACACACTGACTGGGCCTGGGCTAGGGCTCTACATTAAGTTCCATATGTAGCTTGTGTACGTGCCCTGCCATCTGGGTGCCTGGGATCAGGCACTGGCCATGGCCCCCTCAGAGGGGCAACTTCCACACTTCTCCTTAACCCTGCCCTACATTACTGGGATTCAGAGACTGGCGAGAACGACTCCTTCTCTGGGAAAGGCCACACGAATCAGGTGTCTAGGATGACGGTGGATGAGTCAGGGCAGCTGGTCAGCTGCAGCATGGATGACACTGTGCGGTACACCAGCCTTACGCTGCGGGACTACAGGTAAGAGCTGCGGGTGGGGGTGCCTTTCCCCTTTCTGCGCATCGCTCTGTTGAGCCCTGGACCTAGCAGGTCTCCTAGTCCTTCCCTCATCAGTGATGGGAAGTTGTGAGGGAGCAGGTTGGGCAAGGCCCTGACCTTGGGCAACACTCAGTCCAAGCGGCATCCTACTGCTTGGGTGAGAGACCAACGGGCACCAGATTCAGACAGCTCCTGCTCACTGGGGTTTTGCTGGGAGAGTCATTGCCAGTGAGGGACAGGAAGTGCTGGGCACAGGCAGGAGGATGGAAAGTGGCCCTGGACCAGTCCCACCAGCCCCAGGCTGCCCACACCCAAGGCTCCCACTAAGCTAGCCAAGCCTGATAGCTTCAGGCAGAACCATTGTAGGGAGCCCTAGAGACCCCATGTCTGACCCAGCTGCATGGAAGTTTTCTGATGTGCGGTATTCAGGAAATGTGTGCTCACATTTGTGTTCACCTAAACTCTAGGATGACTTTTGATTGCATTACCTGAGATGGATGGAAACATGATTTTAGCACACTGAAAGTAGTGCACTCCTGGCAGTTACCCTGCTGAACTTAGGGTAACTAAGCTCCCTCCTTCGGGAAGGAGCAGGCTTGGTTCTCTGCTCAGGATGCCAGGATATGAGCTATGCTACAGGGAGTGATGGTGTGGCCTGTACCTGCCTGGGATCCATAGCACCATAGTGTCCCTCTCACCGCATTTGCCACCTTCTTGCCCCTGCAGCCCCCGTGTGATTCATGACCTCTGCCCTGGAGTAGTGGGTCATTTTTAATCACCATCCCTCATCTTCCTGAACACTCGCTCAGCTGCATAGCTAAGTCGCATTGGTTTTACAGTGCGGGCGTGTGTCAGCCACTGCAGCAATGAAATCATGTGTTTTCTCTACCAGCGGGCAAGGAGTCGTGAAACTGGATGTCCAACCCAAGTGCGTGGCCGTCGGCCCCGGGGGCTATGCGGTGGTTGTGTGCATCGGACAGGTATGCATTTGGCTTTGTCTCGAGCTGGAAGAGGGGGTAGGTAAGGGACTGCGCCTCCTGCTGAGGAGTGGCCTGCCTCAGTGCTGTGTGAGCAGGTCTGTGTGCTGGCCTTGCCCTGTTGACATGGAAAGAAACAGGTACAGGAGAGGAGGGCACTGCCCACGGTCTGACCGATAGAGGGACAGCTAGGATCCTGCACTGCACATCAGGCCCAGTGCTAGCAGTCCTGCCATCTCCCAGCCCTGCGTGATGGAGCTGTGTGACCTTGAATCTCTCCTCCCCCCCTCAGACTCACAGGTGTGGTGATGAGGGTGTGGCTCAGCCACGTCCTGTCATGGTCAAGACCTCAGGGTGACACTGGGTCTCATGGGTTCCTGGTCCCATGCCAGGATCACCTGCACACCTTTTCTTTTGGAATTTGTGGAACAAAGGGCCCTTTTCTGGAATTTACACCATTTGTCAGGGATCTTGGCATCTCTGTAGCCAGGAAGGGGTGATGTAAGTGACACCCTACTAAAGAAAGCTGCCGTTAGGCATCTACCATATGACTCTGGTGGTCTGTGAACCAAATTGCTTTAGAGAGAGAGGGTCTCTTTTTCCCAGATATTGAGCACTTCCTGCCAGGCCATGGCTGTAGATAGGCAGGATGGCCAGCGGGGCACAGCAGCAGATGGGCAGGGGCTGTTTGTCCACAGCACAGGTGTGGGAAGCATGTGTGTGCCTTGGCCCTGACCTGACATTGGGGCCCTTTCCAGGTGAAGACCTTCTGCAGGCGCCCCCAAGGAAGTCGTGGGGCCAAGAGCTCCACGAGAGGCCCAGGACGTTAGGTCAGGGGAGAGCCAGCTTCAAGTCCCACCTCTGCCCCTCTCATGTTCGTGCCCTCGGAATGGGGTGCTGCCACCCGTCCACAGCACAACACAGAAGCAGAGTACCCAGGGAGTGGGGTGCACTTAAGAGTTTGATGTGGGACAGAACCAGAGCTGGCTTGGGTCCTGGGCACACTTTCGGGGAGCCAATCCATCAGATCCAGGAGCAGACAGGAGGGGTCCCTGTGGGACGGGGGGCACCCTCTTGTGCGCACTGGGGAGCTGAGGTAGGGCCAGTGTGGTGGCCACAGGCAAGGACCCAGGCTTCTGGGGAGCTCTCCAGTAACACCCCATAGCGGAGCTCTACCCTGTTTTCTCCCTGTGACATCGAGGAGCTGACCACTGTTACACACTCACAGCAAAGCACTGTAAAATAGCACGGAACTCGGGAGCCGCAAGCTGCTGCTTTTGCTTCCTATTGTAGGTGCCATGCTTATCCTTGCCGCTGAACTATCTTCCGGAGGCCTGGCTCCTTCTGGGTTCTCATCCCCCTAGCAGAAGGGCCAAGGACCACCTTCAAGCTGCCCCCAAAACAAGCAGATGGCTGGACTAGGGCCCGGCCACTGCCTACCTCCAGAGCCCCTTCTGCCAACACATGTCTGGGAGCAGCTCCTGTGGGGCCTGGACTCCAGGCTGGCACACAGGGCACTCTGAGGACAGCCCAGGGTCCCAAGGATTCAAGATCACGTGGCAACTTGGGCAGGCAAGCAGCTGAAGGCTGCAGGGGCCCTGCTGTAATGCTGAGCTGCTACTGCCTCCCTCCATGAGGCTGGAGCTGCTCGCACTCGATTGCGGGGCTTTCCTGGTGCTCGGTTATGGACTGCCACGCCATCCCCAGGCTACAGAGGAGCAGTGCCTTGAAGGACACTGGCTCTCTCCGGTGACCTGCGTGTTGCTCGGGGCCTTTCTCCCCCCCTCCCCCCCGCCCCCGGGCTGCTGTCTTGCCCTTGGCCCTACTCTCTGGGGACCCCATTCAGCACTCCCTGCACACTGTCTCAAGATTGAACCTGTGGGGCCTGGCACCATGATGGCTGTGCCTGTATGGATACGCCGGCTGTCCCCAGCTCCCATCCACCGCCATTGACTGATGAGGGCGGGAACAGTTCTGTCACCAGTGACCTAGGCTAGGCCACGCATCTTCATGAGGGCCTGCTGCTGTAATGCCCCCGTGTGTCTCACAGGTCGTCCTGCTGAAGGACCAGAGGAAGTGCTTCAGCCTAGACTGCCCTGGCTACGAGCCCGAAGTGGTAGCAGTGCACCCCGGCGGGGACACGGTGGCCATAGGGGGCGTGGTAAGCCCTTTCCTTCCTCCATGCCCACTAGTAACCAGGTGATATGGGGTCCCTGTGAGCTGTGTGCATCATGGGAGGCGCCTGCAGCCCCACAGTGTGAGGCCTGTTCAGAGCCCCGCACCCTACTGCCTGGAGCAAGACCTCCCCCCCCCCCAACCCCTGCAGCAAGGTGTAGAGCGATCCCATAGTATCTCCATCTCGGCTTCAGTGGGGCAGGGGTGAGGGTGCACTGCCGTCTGCTGGCTGAGCTGCATGTGGCTAGGGTGATGGTGGCAGGAGAGTGGGGAGCACTGTACAGGTGGCACCCAGGATCAGGTACCATGACCTTGGCCTGGGAGTCAGGCCTGCAGTGGTCAGGATACTAAAGAAGGTTCTCTCTCTCTCTCTCTCTCTCTCTCTCTCTCTCTCTCT